CCCCAAAACCCCAAAACCCCATGGATCATAAATTTGTTTCATTTATATTCTTTAATAAAAAATTAAGTTGACTTAAATTGATGAAAACTATAATCTTTTTTCAATTAATTTTTAGGCTAGTTCCTAAATTTTAAATATTCTAATCTTTCTTTGCTTGATTTTAATCATTTTATAATAAATTCTACATCTCATTATTGACTTCAAAAGCTTATTTATGAGATAAATTACTAATACCAAATTTAATTTCTTATTTCTATTTAGAATCCGTAAAATTGAAAAACAGCAACATAATAAGTTAACCAGCAATAGATATAATCAATACTGCTACAAAGAATAATCTATATTCATCTATTGTTGCCAGCATAGATGTTATTAGAATACCAATGCTAATAGCAATTGAGTTAATTAATCTATAAACAGCGAACGCTTCAATTGAATTAAATTCTGATCCCATGATAACAGGTAATTAGTTTTACATAAAAGCATCCTAAATACCCAATAGAAAGGTAGATATGAAACAAATAGCTCCAAATACATGTATCTCATTGTAAATAATCAGTGATGAATATGCTAGAATATGAATTACTATACTAAATTGAGATACTGATTTTCCTCCTTCAAATTTATCATTAATAAATGCAAATCCTGTGCTGCCTAAAAGTTATCCAATTCCACACATAGCCTAAGCAAATGAAGCATACTTGAATTAGTCATATACCGAGTAATCTTGTAAAGAAGATGATATAAGTGGGTAAAGGCCAGTTTGTCTAATTGATAATGATAAAGCTGTTGATAAAGAAATACCATAGGTCTTTATCATTCTTCTATCAAACATCAATTTAATTAGTTTAGATCCATCTCTCTGCTGATTAATTTATGTTTAATGGTCTTATGGCAGTTGTTCAATATCCGGCAAGGAATGAAGCATTACAGTCGAGATCATAGCAATAACAGTGCATAAAAAGAAGAGATACTGCTACGGAAAGTATCCAAGTATAAAGGCACTTACAATACTGGATAAAAAGAATGAAATGAACATGAAAGTCCAGAATAAACCTTGATATCTTCCCTTTTTATCTTAGCAAACCAGCGAACAATCGGATAAATATTTTCCTTGAGCAACCCATAAAATAGAGGCTGCAAATCCAATTAATATACTGCAGAAGATCACAAACCCAACAACAAGATTGTATGATAAATACTAATTAATGCTTTCATTTTTTAGTGCAATTGAAGCTAATCCAAAAGAAAATATCCATAAACCATATAATGTCGAGGAGATCATCAATGCTTTTCTCACCCCAAACCTCCTTACTATATTCGAGGAGAAGAACGAACCCAGTCCAAAAACCATGAACACAGTTGATAAACTATAGTACCCAAGATTATTGAATCCACACTCTTTTAGAGCTTTTGATGCTACATTTGCAGAGGCTGCATATGTAAAAAATAAAACAAAGAAGCAGACTGAGAGGTAGAGTACATTTTTAATGTTTGGATAGTCTTTTAATCTCATAGAAGTTTTTGTTATAATATTAGATAATTTAATTTCATTCCATAAAACTTCTATGATATTTGATAATATTTTTCATTAAAGTTTCACAAGAATATAAAACCATATAACCATAGTCGGGGTTTTGGGGTTTTGGGG